TGGCCAATATACTTTTTTTTTTGCTGTGAATTGAGCATGCCCAAACAGACAACATGTCCTCTCATTATTCAAAGTATTATGTTCGCAAATAAAAGAAAGGCAAAGATGCCACTGATTGTAAAAATCTTGTTGAGCTTTAAAAAATCCAAAATTAGTACTGAAGATACTTCAGGGATTGATATATTTTGAACGAAAATGTTTCTACTTTTACGGATGTAGAACAGGATGAAGCCGTGGTTGTGGCGGATAAAGGCACATAAGCAATCGCCACAAACCCAAGTGATAACACTAAACAAATTGTTTCTACCCAAACATCTCAGCATGATTCACTTAAAATGAAATCTGCTCATGTACAAAGAGAGACTGACCGTCAATCCCACTCTTGAGTGCGACCATAATCAGTGACAGTTGTCGACTCTAAGTTCTAACTCAGAACTAAGCACAGAAAACATTATACCATGCCATATAAGTGTCGGTTAGAGAAATTTTACCGACAAGAAAACTTGCAATAAATCTCAGGGTTGTTTGACTGGGTTGATATGTTTGAAAATTGGAATTTTGAAATAATAAATAACATGTACAAATTGTGACTTGGATGGAGAGTTGTCTCATTGGCACTCATACCACATGTTCTTATATCTACATCCTTAAAATATGTTGAAACCAATTGATTTATTTCCCAATTGCCTAGGGCCCAGGCCCCATTTGAAAAAGGGTAGGAAAATCACTGGGTGAGTCCATGGGGGGGTCATCCCACCCCCTTCAATTTAGAAATGTGCTTTTATCTTGTAAACGGTCACGATCCCCACCCCTAAACCATATATATACTTGTATGGGACTGCTGAGATCCCCACCCCTACTGCATATATATATTCTTGTATGGAACAGTAAAACAAATCAAATGAAAGATAGGGGAGTCCACAGGGGTCCCCCCCCCCTTGTTTTTTGAAAACTTGTAAACGGTCGAGATCCCCACCCCTAAACAGTATATATTCATTTATGGGACAAGATAACAAATCAAATGAAATATAGAGAGAGTCCCTGTGGTCACTCCCACCCCTTTCTTTTTGAAAACTTGTAAACGGTCGAAATCCCCACCCCTAAACCATATATGTTCATTTATGGGACAAGATAACAAATCAAATGAAATATAGGGGAGTTCCTGGGGTCACCCCCCACCCCCCTTATTTTTGAAAACTTGTAAACGGTCGAGATCCCCACCCCTAAACCATATATATTCATTTAATTTATGGGACAATAAAACAAATCAAATGAAATATAGGGGAGTCCACAGGGGTCACCCCTACCCCCTTCTTTTTGAAAACTTGTAAACGGTCGAAATCCCCACCCCTAAACCATATATATTCATTTATGGGACAAGATAGCAAATCAAATGAAATATAGGGGAGTTCCTGGGGTCACCCCCACCCCCCTTATTTTTGAAAACTTGTAAATGGTCGAGATCCCCACCCCTAAACCGTATATTTTCATTTAAGGGACAATAAAACAAATCAAATGAAATAGAGGGGGAGTCCACGGGGTCACCCCCACCCCCCTTATTTTTGAAAACTTGTAAACGGTTGAGATTCCCACCCCGAAACCATATATATTCTTGTATGGGACAATAAACTAAATCAAATGAAATAAAGGGTAAGTCCCCTGGGGATCACTCCCGAAGGGCCAAGTGAGCTTTTCTCATCACTTGTCGTCCGTCGTCACAGAGCCTCTAGTTTTGAGAACTTGTAAACGGTGAGATACCCAACCCTAAACCATATTTATTCCTGTTCGTCATTTCAAGAAGATTTGAATGACATACAGGTTCAATCTCCTAGGGGTCACATATGCATATCACTTTACTAGACCTAACCAATTTGTACTGGACTTTGCCCAATGTCAGGCGACCATGGGAATGAAGAATTATGGGAGCTCTGTTTGGAAGACTTTGTAACAGCATCCTGTTACAATTATTTCTTGTTTATTATAAAATTTAACTGATGCAAAATTAAGTCTAGGTTAATTGAATTTACTTTACTTATTTTTTGAATTATTTCTGGGACTATAAAAATTTCATTTATGGCTCATTTTAAAGAAAACATATAAATCTTTCAAGCAGTGTAAAGCCCAAGAATGTTTGACCAACTGTTTTATAATCACCTGTCATTTTACTCCAAACTTGGGATGAAGTGACATCATGGACTTAGTGAAGGTAAGGTTCATTTACATTTACTATGGACAGGTCAATCAGACCTCACCTTTGATCCCTGTAGTAGTAAACTTTTGGCTGATTTGTGTCTCATAACTTTTGTACTGTAAAACCCAAACGCAGTGTTCCTGCCAGGGAAGCAAGTCCATTCATACTATTACAAACTCGTACTACGTCAACTTGTACCACTAAAAGTCAACTGGTACCAACTAAAACAACTGCAATCATTGCGAACTTGTACCCCTGCAAACTTATCATTAAAAATATACATTGATATATGCATTGCTTTTGAAAACCTTGATAAGATATTAATTAATTTGCCTTAATAATCAATTCATTAGATAAACATACATGTACAATATACGAATGTTTAATGTTTGTTCTTTCAAATCTTTAAAAAAAAATGAAGCAACACTGCCATAGTTTTCATAATTATGTTTGCCTTTGTTTTTGGTTAACTGCCTATAGCGCTTACAGTGCTTTGATTAATATTTTTGTAAGAGCTCTCACATGAACAGTTATCAGAAGTTTATATTAGCAAAATCAGAAAATCAGTGCTGATAAACTATTTTTAAAAGAGTTATGCCCCTTGGAAATATTAAATATATATGGAAAATTGCATTGTTAGGGCTCACAAATGTACAGTTTTTGCCTGTTTTTTTTTATGAAAACATATCAAAGAGTTATATCAGCAATGTCTCAGACAAGTTCTAAAATCAGTGCCCATCAACTTTTAAAAAAAGAGTTATGCCCCTTGGTAATATTAATTATATGGAAAATTGCATTGTAAGCTCTTTCGAGCCTACATATCTACATAAAATATTTATAAAAAGTTTTAAAGAACCCCAAAAAAATTAGTTATTGTCCAATGATAGATAAAATGATATGTTTCACTTTTCAATGTTGACACTCTTTCCCAATTCTGCTTTTATTAATGTTTGAAATAAGAAAAAAAACGTATTTTGATTTTTTGTGAACTTCGTAGTTGATGCCTCTTTAAGGACTTGGAGTTACTGTAGAACCCTTTTTGAAAGTTTCTTTTGAATAATAAAAAAAAAATAATATTAACATAGGAGGGCATATTAGCTCTGATACTTATATATCTACATGTACTACGAAATTTCTGGGAAACAAAGCGCTCTTAAATTAAAGGTATGTTGAATTTTTCACCAAGTCAGGATAAGATATACTTTTGACCTGAAATGACTTTCACTCTATTTGAACTTAAATCAAAATAGCTACTAATGCTTGAAACTACAGAATTTAACATAGCAAGAAATGGGCTATGAATCAGTGATTTAATTCATAAGGAATTTTTTTTTATGCGACAGGGGTATTAAGTGTTACCCTTGACCATCCGTCCTTCTGTCTTTCCGTCCCATTTTAGTTTGTTTGAATCTTGAGCGGAAGCATTCATTTTCCTCAGACACTTTCTTCTTTTATTAAGTCTCCCAAACGAAGTTTGGGAAGACTTATTGTTTTTGCTCAGTTATTATTATTATTATTCTTCTTCTTCTTCCTCTTCCGCCGCTTTTAAATTTGTTGAACTTGTCCGCACCCGTTCTCCAAAACCGCTTGTCAGATTAACTTAGGGTTTCACAATATGTTAGATTAACATGTCTAGTGGTGCAATCAGGGTTTTGTTTGTGCAATGGGGTTTATAAAGGGGTACTTTGAGGGGCAAAAAGAAAAGAGGGTTTCACTATAGAACCCTATGGGATTTTATTTTTTAAAATTTTCAAATGATTATAAATTGAAAACCGTTTGTGATAGACACAATCTTTTTAATTGAAAATGTTCTAAATGATAAAACCCATTAAATGAAATACAGGGTTAGTCCCCAGGGGGTCACCCCACCCCCTGCCATTTAAAAAAGTTCTAATACCTTGTCAGTGGTCAAGATCCCCACCCCTAAACCATATATATTCTGGTTTGTCATGCTAAGATGGTTTGAATGATATACAGGGTTAGTCCCCAGGGGTCATCCTGACCCCCTGTCATTTGAGAAAGTTCTAATATCTTGTAAATGGTCGAGATCCCCACCCCTAAACCATATATATTCTGGTTTGTCATGCTAAGATGGTTTGAATGATATACAGGGTTAGTCCCCAGGGGTCATCCCGACCCCCTGCCATTTGAGAAAGTTCTAATATCTTGTAAATGGTCGAGATCCCCACCCCTAAACCATATATATTCTGGTTTGTCATGCTAAGATGGTTTGAATGATATACAAGGTTAGTCCCCAGGGGTCATCCTGACCCCCTGCCATTTGAGAAAGTTCTAATATCTTGTAAATGGTCGAGATCCCCACCCCTAAACCATATATATTCTGGTTTGTCATGCCAAGATGATTTGAATGATATACAGGGTTAGTCCCCAGGCATCACTAATGCATATAACTTTACTGGACCAAACCAATTTTCACTAGACTTTGCCCAATGTCAGGCGACCCTGGGAATTACGAATTATGGGAGCTTCGTTTGGGAGACTTCGTAACAGCATCCTGTTACAATCATTTCTTGTTTTAACTTGGAAAAGGGTAATACGAGTTCAGAATGTTTAGAAATCTCAATATCATCAACTGTATTGCATAATTATTGTGGTGTATACATCAAAACCTCATTTCAACTGATCATGAGTCAGAGCAGAATTTCTTTTCAATTTTTAAAGTTTTCAACATGGAAACATACAATGTATAAACCATTAATTTATATAAATCAATTGTGCTTTCATTGATTAGAAAATAGACACTTCTTCTTCTGTATTTTTCTTTGATTTAAAATTTGATTTATTGCAGGCACAGAATCAGAAATCAATTTCCAGCTTTTTTCAGGTATCTATTGTATATACATTTTATATTGAAGGTGTATCTTATACATGTTATATAGAAGAAACATGCAACTGGCATACCAAATTATAAGCCTGTATCTTTTATGAGTTTATGCATTTGAGTGATCCAACATGACTATTAAACTTATTGCGAGGGAAATATAACCTTTCCCCAGAATCAGAACCTGATTTTTGTGGTATTTTTAACTTTCCATGAACTGTCGAATTGAAATAACACAATAGCTATTGTTCTCTGTCAATGAGAACTTGAAATTTCTCCTCGAAAAGCCAATCATACATTTATTAATTTGGCTGTACAAAAATTTTAACTCTTTCTAGTGATGAAAATACATGTGCCAATACTGAAAAATTACACACATTGTAAGAGAAAGAGATAATAATTACCGGTACAAATTTGTCAATAATTATAGACTACTTAACAAATTTTAATTTATATGGTCAGTACAGAAAAATTTAACTTGTAAAAAATTAATAGATAAAACTGTAGACACTTTTGTTTAAAATTGTGCATATTGCAAATAAATTATATCAGTATGAAATAAGAGGATGTGGTATGCATATGATTGCCAATGATATAACTATCCACCAGAGACTAAATGACGTAGATGTTAGCAACTTAAGGTCGCTGTATGGCCTTCAACAGTTTAGCTCAAGGTTTTATAGTGATAAAACGTTAGTTTGGTATAGCAATGCAGTCAAGATTTACCTCATACAATCTAGTATTCCACTAAAAAACAGACTAAATGCATGACATGTAATATTTCAGTAGAAATCATTTTGTTGATATTAATTAATTTACATCACTGCCCTCCACCCCAATCCTCCCTGTATATTGCTGTTAATAATATTTAGGACTGTGGGACCAATAACTGGGTTGCTATCTCTTTTGAGCCTGAACCAAATGCCGAGAAGATAATGAAGATACAGTGCAGATAAAGGCATCTGTTTTACATTTATCAAATCAGTAAGAGCCCAAGATGTGCCAATTGGTTCTTGGTATACACTGAACAAACACAGGTTTGGGAGAAAGAACCACAGGTTAAAATTTTCTTTGCATATCAACAAATCACGAAACATATTTACAAACAAAGCAAAATCAAGTTGAAAATCTGTGATACTCCTGACACAAAGTACATGATAACTGTGAGTTTTTTGGAAAAATTACTACTCTACCTATTTAACCATATGATATAAAGCTAAAATGACTTAAATGCAAAACAATTTATGTAATGTAGCAATAAAGGAAAACCTATCCACTAGGGAGTGGAGGATGGGCCGAAAATATTTTCCTAAAAATTTATATGGCTGCTGCAAGCAAGCTTTCAAATTGTTTTAAGAATAATTAGGCAGGTGTGCATTAAACAAAAGCCCTGTTAAATAAGCGCTTACTGGTTTATTTAAATGCAATGTGAAATCTGATTGGTTAATTTGTTTGATATCGAAAAACAATTGCCGGTTGTAATCAGGCTTGTATAGTCCGCGTTTTTATTCTCCAAAATTGAACCTGCCAGAAAGGGGTGCGGATTACACAGTACGATAAGCAAGGATTGAGAAAAATTTGATTTCAAGAGGTATTTTTACGTTCTGCCATGTTTGTTATTGAAATTGTAGAGGGGGCTCTTATCATTTTCAAAACTTAATAATTTACCTAATCCATATTAATATGCAATTTTTATTCAATATCAAATATAAACTGGTAAAATTAAAAATTAAATGCTTCACTACAAATTTCTCGTTTCTTTTCACTGCATTGCATAAAATAAACTGAATCCGCTTGAATTTAACAGAACGAAAAAAGTGTTAAGTCGGCCGGGAACCAGCTTATGCATAAAGACCTATAAACTACAAAATGCAATCGGTTATTCGTTCCGTTTTGGTGTTTCATACTGACGCATGTGTTTTGTTTTAGCTCAAGATCCTTCAAACATTAATGTGATAGATATGTTAAACATCATTTTACTTTAAAAGGATGGAACTGTTTTACTTTAAAATTCGTATTCTAGTGATATCTATAAAGTACGGATTTTCTGTACACTCTCACCGTATTTATTTTCATTTACATGTGCTATTTGAACTTCTAGTTAAAACATACACAAGTTTCTCAATTGTTTTTTTGTGATTTTGACTTATTCTAACACTCATGAAGTGTTCTAGAATCATTTACAAGCATTTTGATGATGGAAAACTGGTTTTTCCATGTAAATACCGCAAACGATCACACACGATTTGAAATAACCAGAGTTTCATTAGATGTTTTCGAACAGTTTCAAAACTTTTTATGCCCCCGCCTATGCCCCCGCCGTATCAGTGGGGACATTAAGTTTTACCCTTGTCCGTCTGTACATACGTACGTACGTCCCAAAATTGGTTTCCGGTCTCTAACTTGAGTTTGCCTCAACCAAATGTTATGAAACTTATACACAATGCTTATTACCACAAAACACAGATCAAGTTTGAATTTTGGTGGTGTCACTTTAACCGTTCTAGTGTTATAGTTGAATCAACTACAATCAATGCTTTCTCTGACATAAACAAGTCAGAATAAAATGACTTCCATAGGTCAGATATAATTTGATGTAAGTGTTGTCTCCCTTCTTGCACTCAACAGAATATGACTTGTACAGGTCAGTTTATGTCAGACTTTAATTTATCATAAAATGACTTCCACAGGTCAGATTTTGCACAAAATATTGTGACTTAATATCTTCATATTCTAATAAGATTTATGCCCCTTTTTAATGCATTTTGACTTCGAGAGGTCATTTTTGTTCTGATTTGAAGCAGTCATTACTACCACTTTGTTATCAATCTCCATAAAAATATGGTGATTACTAGTTTCGAATTAAAGAGTTTTAAAAAGTGGGGCTCATCTGACATCATACCTTCTCCTTTCCAGAATCTAAACATAATATATTTATCTCATCACTTTCAATTATTTCAAAATACAAAGAAAAACCAGGTGAGAAAAAATGGATCATACAATTTTCTGAATATCAAAAGATTTACAAAATACAATATTGGATACATTACATGACAATACTTCAAATCTTCCAAGGAAAAACAAGACACTTATTCAGGATAAGACTATGTTAATAAAAGATATATTCTCATCCACTTTAAGCTAAATGTATTAAGAGCAAAACATTTATTATTTTAATATTTCATTGAGGTAAATACTGTTGTGCAAACTGACTCAAACAAGTCACATTATGTTCTGACTTACTAAATGTATTACAACTTTTAAGTCTAGTATTGTCATATTGATTTAAAAATGTATAGGTAAGCCAGATAAAAGACTGAGGAAATTAGGTCCCCATAAGTCACCATAATGAGGACTATAAAAAAGTTTATTTGGTATATTCAATATTAAATGTATATTCAATATTAAATGTATTTTCTGACTTAAAAGAGTCAGTCCAAAACTAAAATAAATTTATTGAAATATTTAAGCCGGGCATTGCCATATGATATTAAATGAATGTATGGGAACGTCAGATAAAAGACACAGGAAATATATGTTAAGATCCCCTAAAATAAATAACCATTTGACTTAATTGTTTCTAAAAATTTATCAAATAATAAACTCGAAAATGGCAGATTCAGAAGCAGTCTGAAAGCAAGGACTTTCTTGGATTAAAGGAAGTACACCTAGCTTTGATTGGAAATTTTGTTCTGTAAACTGACTTTAACAAGTCAAATCATGTTCTGACCTCAAAGAGTCAGTCAAAACTAAACTTATTACAACTTTTAAGTCTAGTATTGTCATATTGATTTAAAAATGTATGGGAGAGCCAGATAAAAAACAGAGGAAATAAGGTCCCCTAAAGTCACAATAATGAGGATTATATAAAAAAGTTTATTTGGTGTATTCAATATTTAAATGTATTTTGTTTTAAACAGGTCAAATTATGTTCTGACTTCAAAGAGTCAGTCAAAAACTATACTTTAACTAATTATTGCAACTTCTAAGTCTGGCATTGTCATATGCATTTAATAATGTATGGGAAAAACAGATAAAAGACACCCAATAATAAAGTCACAATAATGAGGGGGGGGCTTAGAGGAAGAAGACCTAGTTTTGATTGGAAATTTTGTTCTGTAAACTGACTTTAACAGGTCAAATCATGTTCTGACTTCAAAGAGTCAAACAAAACTAAACTTATTTCAACTTTTAAGTCTAGGTTTTTCATATTGATTTTAAAATGTATGGGAAAGCCAGATAAAAGCCAGATGAAATAAGGTCCCCTTACGTCACAATAATGAGGACTATAAAAAAGTTTATTTGGTATATTCAATATCAAATGCATTTTGTTTTTAAAGATTTTCATCAAATTATCTTAAATTTTATTTTATTTCTGTATTTTCATGACTTTTCTTTTCTGTTAAGTTTACACATAGAACTTGTGGTTGCCAAAAGAAATAAAATTTTAATAACCATTTGGCTGAATTGTTTTTAAAAAAACTTATCTATTAATTAACTCAACAGTTGCAGATTCATATTTAGGGGGGGGGGGGCTTAGAGGAAGAACACCTAGCTTTGATTGGAAATTTTGTTCTGTAAACTGACTTTAACAGGTCAAATCATGTTCTGCTTTCAAAGAGTCAGTCAAAACTAAACTTATTAATACAACTTTTAAGTCTAGTATTGTCGTATTGATTTAAAAATGTATGGGAAAGCCAGATAAAAGACAGAGGAAATAAGGTCCCCTAAAGTCACAATAATGAGGACTATAAAAAAGTTTATTTGGTATATTCAATATTAAATGTATTTTGTTTTAAACAGGTCAAATCATGTTCTGACTTAAAACAGTCAGTCCAAAACTAAGTTTATTGAAATTTTAAAGTTGGACACTTCCATATGATATTAATGAATGTATGAGAACGTCAGATAAAAGACATAGGAAATATATGTAAGATCCCCTAAAATAAATAACTATTTGACTTAATTGTTTCTAAAAATTTATCAAATAATAAACTCAAAAA